TTGATGTTATCAGACCTTGTGGTGGGTCCAGTCAGGGAGCTGAAATGGTAGGAAATTAATCCAACAAAAAGTGAGTATTTGCTTTACCTCACCGAAACCACTGGACAAGCTCAGAACAATTAAGCCTATCTTGAATAATTCAGGGCTCAACAGGACATGAGTGGTACTTCTGGATCCTAAAGGCATAGCAAATCCTTAACTGTAATTCTGTATGGTGAGTGCCAAAATAATCTTACATCTTTTTATATATACACTGCATTCAAGAGGGTATTCTTAAACATGTAGCTTTTGAAAAATTTACTTAAGTAGACTGAAAAGTTCATGAAACAGATGAAAGGACATGGAGATTTGTAACTGTAGATTTAAACCTAGCCCTGACCAGATATATTCCGCTCTTTTGCATAGTCTAGTGGCCTGATCGTAAAACTCATCACATTTATTAGCTGTCTTGTTGGAAATCTAAGCAGAGAAGTCAAAGTCCAAATATAGCTGACTTGAACCGATACATCAGGCACCTTCGCTGACTGTAATGACAGGGAGAAACCTAATGCAAACTGCCTTGTGCTCTGTTGGGCGAGGCTGGGAGCTGCTGTAGTGATGGCTGGGAGGCCATCAACACAACTGCTTCTGATCTCGTGGTCACGCATAATGCTGATTAGCTTCCTGTGATGCTTTGGGGTAGAGGGAGGTTAGATCTTGTTTATTTTCCTTCATCCTGGTGTCTGACTGGGTGGACTTGGCAGTGCTAGGTTTACAGTTGGAGTCGATGATCTTAAAGGTCTTTTCCAATCTAAATGATGCTATGATTCTAGATGCTGTGGAGGCTTTCAAAGGATCTTAGGGCTAAGTTTTCATATTTTTAGTAACTGGTTGGTCTAGACCTGTGGAAATGTTTAATAGGTCAGCTGATTTGACTATGGCATGTTGAGTACTAGACCCTTTAGAAAATGTGATCATTTTCAGTACATAAATAGGAGCTGAAATGCTCTGAGAGTGGCTATAGGAATGCAGAGATTCTTAACATTACTGAAGCCTGAGAGTCTTCCCATGAATGTATTTATAAATTTAGGCAGTTCTTGAGCAGCTCCTAATAAACTGGACTTCCTTTGCTCTGCACTAGCCTATAATAAAGAGGGAGAAAACTGAAGTTTATGTTGCCGTTCATTTTTTCCTCTGAAACCCAGTTCCCCTGAACAGATTGCTGATCCAGCACAGCCACACCAATCCCTACGCGCAGAGCTGAAGCCTAGCGACTTGCAGGGGAGTCAGGAGCTAGGAGAGGGAATGAAAGAGGAAAGAGAGCGCCCCGTAAGCCACACTCACTGCCAAAGCCAGTTTCTCATCCAAACTGTGCCTTTTTACTGGACTTCAGGTTTCTCAATGCTTGGACACATTTGCTGAGGAGTTATAAATTGCAGTTATATTTGAGTGAAGATGCTGGCATACCCACACTTGTAGGTAGTTGCAAATACATGTGCACAAGCATTTAAGATATTAAAGACTTGTTTAGTAAAACACAACGTCCAAGGAGATTAGTTTCATCATATCTTTTTAAAATCCAGACCATTATTAGATTGATAGTCTCATGTTTTATATATCTTAAATATTTATTCTCTCTATTATTAATCATTAGATTGTTGCAGCAGAAACTATATTTTCCTTTTTTCCCCTGGGAAACACTGAGTGTACTACCACAAACTAATAATAATTTTTAAATTTCTATAAAACGGAGCTGAATAATGTGTAGCTTTGCCCTGTAGCTAGATAATGATGTACATTTGGTTCCACAAGGGAGCAAGAGCATTAATCACAGGTATAGCTGTTATGCCCCGATAAACAAAGTGTTTTCATTTTGGCTCACTGAGCTGATTCAGTGGACTTTGAAATACAAGCAACATCAGGTGCTCTCTGCAGGACCTATTAATAACACTGCAGAAACTTAGCTAACTGCCCATGCAGAGTAACAGCTGAGTTACATGTCTGCTATACAGATGTGAGCTGTAGCAATTTCTAACAATTTAAAAAGAAGAAACGTTTCCTGTTACTTCTAATAGCTTCTTCCTGCCATACACCAAAAAGATCAAACAAATTATTTTAAGGAACCAGTGCATATATACATGTCATTTTTTGACAAGACAGAGTCAGAGCTAAAAAACTGTGTACCACTGATTTTATGACGACAGTGTAAAACAAAGATTTTTTTTTATCGCTGCTGATAGCAGCCTATGCTGAGGTCAGCCCATTTTTATCTCCTTGACGATAATATCAGCAATCCCTGAAACTGATGATAGCCAGAAGATTGGGCTCCATTTGCCTCTCTGTTCCTAGCTGCCTTCTTGTACCTGATCATTACAGCAGTCTCCATAGTCTGTGTAGTCATACCTGCCATTTGAGCTGCTTTTCATGGACACAGTGGATGAGATTTTCCCCGTTTATCACATTTGTAATTGTCCCATGGAAGACTTATTTTCCCAGCTGAAAGGTCAGCCACCTTGAAGAGCTCGGAAAAGAACCGGAACGTCCTAGACATAGACATAAGCTGTGGCACTGATGGATAGTTTATGAATTCCTTTTTTCTTGCAGACTACTTCTCCTACTACCTATGCAGCTTTGCATGTATCGTTTGTTTTCTTTATGTTTTAATTTACTATCACTTTATTATAATTATCTATAGAACCTAGAAATTTCCCTAATGGACCGTGAGCCCACTTTCCTGTGTGCTGCATAAATACAGACTAAACTGCCCAGAGAGTTTGTAATCTAAATATAGGACAAGAGAAGGGACTTAGCATACGAACAGTTATCTTGTATTTGTCGGCATCATAGAAAAGCAGTTTTAGGGATTTAAAGAAGATTATACGAGAGCATTGCTGTTGTTTGCATCAGGGGCAGCATGAAGATCTTGTCTGAAAACAGAACGGGTGAACAATGGAAGCCGGCCCCATGAGAGGGAGTTGGCAGAGTACACTGGTATGTCCCTTACCTTATAGGGGTGCTCTGAGGATGAATATATTAAACATTACGAACCATTCAAGCAGTAGGATAATGCTAGTTTTGTAAGGACCTAAAATAGATACACACAGCTAGGCGCACAGCCACGATTGTGACTGCATCTCAAATATTGTTTGGTGTCTGCAGGGTATTGCTGTACCAGGTAGGTAAGAAGCCAGCAGCAGTGATGATGTACTTTAGAGAGATGGTGAAACACTGTGGTTTTTTCTACAGTAATCAGGTTTTAGAACCTAAAATAATGCAAAACTTATTTATATAAGTTTTATAATGCAAAAGTTATAATTGTCTCAGTTCCTCGGGCAAGGGAAAAACCTGTATGAGGAGGATATGCCCAAGAGGGCCTGTTGCTTTGTTTACATGCCTACCGAGGTCCCCAAAGCATCAGGATGAGGAAAGATCATTCCCTGGTGGTTGACTGCAGTGAGGAACGTGAGAAGGAGATGGAGATGAGCTTTGTGGTGTACCTGGCAGCAAGGAGCGCTCAGAAGAGAAACGCCCTTCCTCCCGGGGTGTCTCCCCCTTTCTCTATACCTGGAGACGACTGGACTTTGAACTGCACCCTGTGTAGTGGTGTCGGCTGCTGCAAAGGCAGTGGCTGGCTGGCTCGGGGGGCCGGGGCAAGACGGGTCACCCGCCCCTTTGTTTTCATAATTGCCATCTGTGGCCTCTTCCTGCCTTAGCTAAAAAAGACTGCCTTCTACTATATCCTTGTAGAGCTAAGGGGACCAGGCATATGCTGTGGATTTATCCAGTGGCATAATAATACTATGTTTTATTCTCCTGCCAAGGGCACAGCAGTGAGTCAACCAAAAAGAAAAAAAACATTGCCTCGGCCTCTGACTGCTTCACTAAGGCATCCATGTCTAAAGTACTGGATTCCCGCTTTACAAGAATTATATTGTAATAGTGCCTAAGGTTAATGTATATCATAGCTACACTTCCATTGTTCACAATAGGTATCTATTCTTTGTTGCTAAAAGATCTAGCTATAGATGATCCAATAGTCAGTTTAGTTCTTCTACACAGAGTTTCTAGATTTATGAAAATAAATTCTAGATTTATGGAAGTATCCTTTTACTAAACATTTTAGTATCTCATGCGTTCTATATTGGATTAGGATATTCTGACCAGAAGTGAAACTCATCTCTGGTTTATTGTACTATTTATATGTCAATAAAAATAAGTAACTCTTTCAAGTGTTACAAAACATTAGCTGATGATAGGTGAAACAGCTTGGTCTGAGTATGGAGTTTGCTGTACAGAGATACAGCGATGAAGATAAACATAATGGCTTCTTAGAGGATGCAGAGGAAGGTAGTGCCAAGCTGGAATCGTGGCGCGTTTCGGAGCTCCTGCTGCCATTCCTTTGGGCGTGTTACCTTCCTGTTATCTTGGGTGGCGTTGCTGTAAACTGACCGTGTAATAACAACGGAGGAGAAGTGACCTTGCGGACGCTTTGTACAACTGGAATTAATAAATGTTCCTGACAGGGTAATCAGTTAGTTGGTTCATTTAGTACATGAGTTTAGAGACTTAATGGGCAGCAGTGTGAGAAAAGTTTTACTTCATCCTGTTGTGAAAACAACTGATTAGCAAAGAGCAACCTGACAGCCTCACTCAGCCACTGAAAATGAGCCCCGTTTTTCCTTTGCTGCTAGGCTGCTGGTGGTGGATATTGGATATTGGTGTGGTATCTTTGTCAAACCTCTTCAGTTTTACTGACGTGAGGGTACATGCTTCTGGAGTGCTTTCTTAGAGCTCTTCTGTATCAAGAGTTTGGTTTACAACCCATTCACACATTACTTTTCATCATCCGTGTGATGATTGGGGAAGAATGTAGATATTCGGTGCTAAAGTACGGCACTCAACAATTTTACCAGCTAAGCAAATACCACATGGAAAACTAGGAGGTTTCTCCTTGTTGCAATCAGATATTCTTTAAAAAAATAATGCGAGCTCATTCCCTGAAAAGAAACAACAGCTGCAGAAACCAGCTACCGTAGGTAGGAGAGCAAGGTTCCTGGCAGGGCCCTTCAGTAGAGGGACACCTCCATTTCCGTTAATTTCTAGGCTGCATGGCATCTGATAGGCATATAGCAAAAATATAAAAGGTAAGGTTTTGGTATGCACTGTCTGCAAAGCCTGAAATCTGTGACATTGACTTATTTCGCATACGTCTTTGAAAAGCCATTATAGGGAAAGTTTTGTGCGCACTTACAAATATGACTGCCCACGTGGAACCTGGACGAGATAGTCTTTTAATATAGTTACATTTTTATTGAAATAAAACTTCTGAAGTTAATGAAGGACCTGCCATTTGTTGGCAAGTGCTGTTTCTGTTACAGGGAGGTGCTGTATTCGTATACCAAACATGTGGCTTTCAGGTCAAGTTTCAGAATACATTTAATGCAGTTTGAGGGCTACTGCTGTCAGGGGCGGGTTTTGCCTTTCCCTCCTCGCCTTTTGCCCTCGCCCTTGTGTTGGTGGAACAGTTTTCACCTGGTCTGTGAGCTGAAGGACTCGTTCCCCAGCTGCACGCTCAATGTAAAGTCGTGGGGCAGCCCAGGATGTGCTTTTTGTTAAGGAAGAAGGTTGGAGACAGTGACGTGCTGCTTTTGAGAGCATCTTATAGGTAGCTTAATTTAGGTATAATGTGAAGTTATACAATACTATAGTCAGGCACATTTTAGACACTATAGGTATCGGGGAAGATTCAGTGAAAAAAATGTAAATGAGTAGGTAGAACTTAGTTGGGTTTTTTGTTTGTTTGTTTTTTCCGCCCTCCTCTTCATAAACGTGCAGGCAGGATTGCAGGAGTTACCTCCTTTCCCTTTTTTTCAGAAGGGAGAAATAAAATACTTGGAACCAACTATTTTAAAAACTAGGAAACTGGGGTCTTATATTGGATATTTTTCCTCTTGCCTTGGTGTACTGATGTGGAAAGCTGAGTTTGCTAAGCTTGTTACTGTCACTTTCAGCTTTCCTGGTGTATTTTCCTGCCTGGCAAGCTCTTGTTTACAAGCTGGAGAGCAAAGAAAGCCCTGAAGAATAAAAATTGTGAAAAATGGAGAGCCTGCTGCTGTTACCTCAAACCTCGCCTGAGACAGAGTACAGGGCAGGTAAATTGCTGTATACCAGATTGTACCCCCCCCCCCCCCGAAATGTTTTTATTGCTCCTAAATAAAATAACAGTTCTGGCCATTCCTGCAGTATCTCTGCCGTAGGGTTCAGTTGTGGCTATAAGGTAGGAATGGGGAAACTGCATTTTTCATTTTGTTGGGGTCTTGTTGATTTTACACTACTATCAGATGTGGTTAGGATGCAAGTCCTTATGTGACCCTTAGTGTGAGAAAAACGCTAAATTATAATTTAGTTTCTTAAAATTGCAGGAAAATAAATTCCAGAATTACATTCTTCTCCAGTCTCTCTGTTCTCACGCTTCATGCGTGGATATGCTCCTGGTAAGCGGCTATGTGTTAGGTTAGCGGTTGGACTCGATCTTAAGGGTCTCTTCCAACCTCAGTGATTCCATCTGAGAAGGACCTGGGGGTACTGGTGGATGAGAAGCTGGACATGAGCCAGCAATGTGGGCTCGCAGCCCAGAAGGCCAATCGTATCCTGGGCTGCACCAAAAGCAGCGTGGCCAGCAGGTCGAGGGAGGGGATTCTGCCCCTCTGCTCTGCGAGACCCCCCCTGCAGCACTGCCTCCAGCTCTGGAGCCCTCAGCATAAGAAAGACACGGACCTGTTGGAGCGGGTCCAGAGGAGGGTCACAAAAATGATCAGGGGGATGGAACACCTCTGCTATGAAGAAAGGCTGAGAGAGTTGGGGTTGTTCAGCCTGGAGAAGAGAAGGCTTTGGGGAGACCTTCTTACAGCCTGTCAGTACTTAAAGGGGGCTTATAAGAAAGATGGGGACAGACTTTTTAGCAGGGCCTGTTGCAACAGGACAAGGGGGAATGGCTTTAAACTAAAGGGGGG